ATCACTTGGAATCATTTGCACATGAGTCCCAATCAGACATGGATCAGGATTTCAGTGAGTGGGCCCATAAAATTCCTTATTTAATAAGCCACCTACATAATGATGATGTACTCCAAGGCTTCAGGATGACTATCAGAGAGAGGAGGCAGATTGCAGAAATTTCCTTTCTAAGTAAATTGTTTATTGATTCAATTGGAATTAGTATTGAATCAACATTGATTTTAATTAATATTAAATCAGTATGGAAGCATGAATGTCAACATCAGAGTTATAATTTACATACAATAAAATGCTCTTACTTAAGGTTACAATTAAGTGAGTTTTCACAAAAACTGTGTGATTGCCAAAAAGAATCTATATACAGAATATTTCCTATTAACCCACCATTTACCATTTGTATTGTTATTGCCTTGACCCTACTGCCTGAGATCCAGACCCAGAATTAAATTATCTACTCCCTATAACTACAGATTAGTTTTGCCAGTTGTGGAGTTTTATAAAATGGAATCCTATGCACGCACTCTTTTTGTTTAGATTCTTTTGCTAAGTATGCTATTTCAGAAACATGTGCATGCTGTTGCGTGTAGAAATAGTATACTCTTCTTATTGCTGTGGAGTATTAAACTGTATGACAATTTGTAAAAAATCCACTTGTCTATTGATAGATGCTTGAGCTGTTTCCAAGTTTTAAATCTCATGAATAAAGCTGCAACAAACATTCATCTACACATTCTTGTGTACACATTCATCTGTCCCAGGAAGTATGTGGTGGTCAGTTGAAGAACACACGATATTTTCATTGGTTCATGGAACTTCCTCTAGGATAGACCTTGTGCTAGGCCATAAAACAAAACTCAGCAGATTAGATTAAAAATGAAATAATACCATATATCTTTTCTGACCACAATGAAATGAAGTTGGAAATTAATAACTTAAAAATCCCTAGAACATATGCAAACAAATGGAGACTGACTAACATCCTCCTGAATGAACAGTGGGTCATACAGGAAATCAAAAAATTCCTGGAAATGAATGAAGACGGCAGTACAACATATCAAAATATATGGGAAAGAGCAAAAACAGCGCTAAGAGGGAAGTATATAGCAATTAGTGCCTACATCAAGAAATTGGAAAGGCAGCAAATAAATGAGTTATTGATGTGTCTCAAGGACCTAGAAAAACAAGAACAAACCAAATCCCAAATTAGTAGGAAAAAGAAGTAATTCAAATTAGGAAAGAAATAAGCAAAACTGAAACCTCAAATTAGTAGGACAAAAGAAATAATTCAAATTAGGAAAGAAATAAGCAAAACTAAAACAAAATTACGAAAGATAAGTGAAATGAAGAGCTGCTTTTATGAAAAAATAAACAATATTGATACACCACTGGTACAACTAACAAAAAAAAGAATAGAAGAACCAAATTTTTCAAAAGATGAAATTCAAAGGGCCAACAGAAATATGAAAAAAATTCTCAGGATCACTATCATTTCATGGAAATGCAAATAAAAACCATAATGATGTTTCACCTCACCCAAGTTAGAATGGCTCTCATAAAGAAATCAAAAAAACCAATAACTGCTGGCAAGAATGTGGGGAAAAAAGTACACTAATACACTGTTGGTGGGAATGTAAACTAGTACAGTCAGTATGGAAGACTGTATGGAGATTCCTCAGAAATCTGAAAATAGACCTACCATTTGATCCAGGCATCCCATTCCTGGGGATTAATCCAAAGGAAATTAAATCAGCACATGAAAGAGTTATCTGTACCACTGTGTTTTCTGCAGCTCAATTCACAATAGCTAAGATTTATGTTTCATTATTAAAACATATTTTTTGACAGGCAGAGTGGACAGTGAGAGAAAGACAGAGAGAGAAAGGTCTTCCTCTTTGCCGTTGGTTCACCCTCCAATGGCCACCGTGGCCGGCGCACTGCGGCCGGCGCACCGCACTGATCCGATGGCAGGAGCCAGGTGCTTCTCCTGGTCTCCCATGGGGTGCAGGGCCCAAGCACTTGGGCCATCCTCCACTGCACTCCCTGGCCACAGCAGAGGGCTGGCCTGGAAGAGGGGCAACCGGGACAGAATCCAGTGCCCCGACCGGGACTAGAACCTGGTGTGCCGGGGCCGCAAGACGGAGGATTAGCCTAGTGAGCCGTGGCTCTGGCTCATTATTAAACATTTTTAACATGTTTTAAACATGTTTTTAAACATTTAAACATGTTTCATTAAAACATTTCAGAGTTTTTTCTGAATGGCTTTTTTTACTTTAGCAAAAAAAAAAAAAAAAAAGAGGGGCTGTTATTGTGCCATACCAGGTTAAGCCAGTACTTGGACTGCATGCTATATGGGCACCAATTCCTGTCCCAGTTTAATCCAGCTCCCTACTAATGGCTGTCAAAGCACCAGAAGATGGTCCAAGTGTTGGGCCCCTTTCACACACACAGGAGACGTGGATGAGCTCCTGGATTAGGCCTGGCTCAGCCTTGGCTTTTGTGGGAATTTGGGGGATAAACAAGCAGATGGAATAGCTCTTTTTCTCTCTTCCTCCTTCCCTCTCTGTAAATCTGACTTTCAAATAAATAAATAAATCTAAAACAAAACAAAACAAACCAACCAAACAAACAAAAAACACAGAAATAAGAGCTGTTGTACACTGAGGATATTCCTGGCTCTGTATGAGGTGCTGGTACTACAGCAATTATATATTTGACCCTTGTGTATCCAGAAATGTAATGAAGAGGAAAGAAATTGGGCAACTAAGGAGAGAGAGACAGAGAGAGAGAAAGAGAGAGAGAGAGAGAGAGAGAGATGTGTTTACAAAATCCTCGGCTTTCTTGTGCAGATGAATTCTAGGAGCATCCCCCTTCCCCAGCCTCAACCTAGGAATGGAAGTGGAGTATGCACACTGTAAGCCAGGAATCTGTAAAAACTCATAATGTTGAGAGAAACAATGAGTACATAGTTTTAAATACAATATGAGAAAGTAGATAAAAGGAGGGCCGGCATTGTGGTACAGTGGGTTAAGCTATCACATGTGATGTTGGCATTCCACATCAGAATGCCCATTTGAGTCTCAGCTGATCCACTTCCAATCTAGTTCCCAGCTAATGCATCTAGAAATGCAGAAAATAATGTCCTACGAGCTTGGACCTCTGTCACCCACATGGGAGACTTTGATGGAGTTCCTGACTACTGGCTTCGACATAATGCAGCAGGTATTGCCCATTTGAAAAGTGAAAAATAAATTAAATTAAAATTAAATTCCAGCATCAAATAACATATACCTTGAAAAAGCTGTTTTTTTTTTCTTTTAAAGGAAAGTAGATAAAATGAATCTGGGAAGAGATGTTGTCTGTAAGCATCAGCATATCCCATGATATGTAAAGTTCTTGGGTACAGAAAGGGCAGTGTAAATACAAATGAAAATACTAAAATCAACCACTATTAAAATTAACCATAAAGGATTATATTACTGTCAATGACATTGATATTTAAATATACTTGAAAAATTATGCCTCTAGGAACAAAAGGATAATGGAGAGATCTATTCTCTAAAGAATGTGCTATGATTTAGTTGGTAATGGGGTGCAACATCTGTCTGTAATTTTTTCCATGTATTTACAGAAGTTAATGGTGCCAACAGAAACCAGGATAGCTAAATACCCCTCTGGCCCTTCCTGGAAGCAGGCATAAAACTTTTATCCTCCTGAAACCAACCACTAGCCCAAGGAGCTGGAGTAATAGATATTCATGAAGGGATATCAAGCTAATGACAAATCTCCAACAAACAGCAGATTCTACTTTAAAGTCAGTAGACATGAAGTTGTCTCAAGAAGAAAGTTAATTTCATAGCATCAAACCAAAACTCTAAATATTAGACATCTCACCCATGCAAGACTGGGGACAGCTATAATTTCAACAGAACACAGAAAAGAAAGGATATAACCAGTGGAAGGGGAAACAAAACGCTGATACTAAAAACAGATGATTTTGTTTAAGTCCTTGCAGAAAAGTAAACATTAGAAAACAGAGAAAGAGTTAGAAATTTATTGGTTTGTACAGGGGTTAAGTAATAAAATGTAAACAATATCTGAGATATTAAATGGTTCATGGAAGGTAGATATTGATATTAGGCTTTAGAAAATTAACAATCTCAAGGCTAATGCTATGACTCCACAGAAAATGAGGTGACCCTTTGCAAAGTATGATAGAAAAGTTTAAGCTTAAGCTGCTTAAAACATTTCCATACAATTAATTCTTTGGTTTGTTCTTCAGGTCTATACGGGATATTTTAAATTTTGTTATATTTTGACAATAATTTAAAATTTTTATGACTGTGTAAATAACACAAGTGTATCTGGATTATCAAATAGCAATTGTGTAATTGAGCCCTGACACAGAATTTCACTACTTGCTGTTTATGTTTATGTTATATTCATGCCAGCTGTTTTCTTTCTATGCATACTATAGCTAATAGATGAGAAAAGAGGTTAATTCAATGCATAAACTTATGTTCTTAGCAAATGAAGATCAAGTGAAGCTACAGCATGCTTTACAAAGGTAAGTTTCACAATGGTGTTAATGGAGAAAAATAGAACTGAGACCTCAGAGAGCTTTGTGTTGTGCCCAAGAAATCAACCCCCTAGCTTCACCATTGTATTTCATAGGGACTGCCATCTTAGCTACCAAAAAGCAGCTTTATCTGCTGTTAGCTTGAATTTCATTAGTTTCATTAAATGTCTATTATGTTGCAAGTACTTTGCTAAACTCTAGAAATCTAAAGATAAATAAATCTCAGTTTGGGGCCACCTCAAAATTCTACTGACAAAGACATTAGAAAGGTCCACGTTGTCATGAGCAGAGCAAAACACTTTCCATAAAAATCAGTTCTACTTTCACAGCTGTTTAAAGCCACAAAAAGTCAAGTTCAGTTTGCAAATTGGATTTTACATCTCAGGCTGACATTGATTTAATGCAGGGAATAAATTCCACTTACTGTACACACAGCCATACACTTCTATCCGCATCCCAATTCTGCCCTTTGGATTCCAGGCCACAGGGAGGAAGCGCAGAAACCTGGCTTGAAAGGGGGACTGCAGTCTGTAGTGCACCACGCTGTCTGCATTTGTGTTGCCTGGGAAACCCTGGGAGAAAACACAAAGAGATCAGCAGAATAACATCTTCATGCCATCACCTCTCATGCCTCTGAACAAAGCACTGCGATTTGTCGCTATACAAAAGGCTGTCTTCTTCAAAGAACCCTCACTAAGGTTGTATAAGGATGTGACAGCGTCTCCTCAACTGCTGAGTTAGTCACCCCTGTCTAATTCTTATCGACAGGGTCACTGAGATTTCATCAACATCATTAAAAACCCCTATAAACATGGCAGCCTCCACTAAGTTTGCTTTTCTGAAGTATTCATTTCCTCATCTCCAGTTACTGAAGATGCCCCCATGAAATCACACCATCCAGGCCAATAAAGCACGGAGCTAATGGACACAGGACACGTAATAAGAATCCTGGAATCCAGGAGTTAGAAGGGACCTCGGGCTATACCCTTAATTTCCAGATGAGAAACTCTAGACTCAGGAGGAGAAGATTGTTTGAAATATTTTTTTGTCTTAATTTCAGGTTTTCAAAATATAATGTGTGGGAACAAGGAAACGATGGACATTTCTGAACATACAAATTTATTTAGATTCTTCAGCAATGAGTAATTTAATAATAAGGTAAAATTTTTACTTCATGACCATTCACAGGGGAAAAATAAACTGAAGTTAACACCAAATATTCAGCATCTGTTCCTTACCTAGCTATTCTGCTGTGTAATCTTTAAAAACTCCCTTGACTAGTGTTACTTAAAGAAGCATGTGGATATTACATAAAAAAGAGAGTTCATGGGCAGGTGGGGTAGTGGGTTTACAGAGTCACATCCTTATAAAGGATAAAGTCTTAGTAGACTTAAAAGTTGATCATGAGTGTCCATCAGGGGTTTTGGTCTATATATTCTTATTTTTTGTTGCATCCTTATCAGTTTTGGAGTTAAGGTAATGCTGGCTTCATCGAACTAATTTGGAAAGGCTCTCTCCTTTTTAATTGTTTTGAATAATTTAAGAATTAAAATTAGTTGTTCTGGGGCCAGCGTTGTAGTGCAGCTGGTTAACGCCCTGGCCTGAAGCACCGGCATCCCACATGGGTGCTGGTTCGAGTCCCGGCTGCTCCACTTCTGATACAGCTCTCTGCTATGGCCTGGGAAAGCACTGGAAGATGGCCCAAGTCCTTGGGCCCCTCTACCCATGTGGGAGATCCAGAGGAAGCTCTTGGCTCCTGGCATCGGGTAGGCGCAGCTCCAGCTGTTGCGGACAATTGGGGAGTGAACCATTGGACGGAAGACCTTTCTTTCTCTCTCTGTCTCTCCTCTCCTTCTGTGTAACTCTGACTTTCAAATAAATAAATAAATCTAAAAAAATAATTAGTTGTTCTTTAAAAGTTTTGGTAGAATTCAGCAGTGAAGCAACCAATCCCGGGCTTTTATTTGTGGGGAAGCTCTTTATTACTGATTCAATCTTGGTTATTTTTCTATTCAAATTTTCTATGTCTTTGTGCCTCATTTTTGGTAAATTAAAAAATCCTCAGCAAAATACTAGCAAATCAAATCCAACAATACATTAAAAAGATTACCCACTCAAGTCAAGTGGGATGAAGGGATTATTTGACACATGTAAATCAAGAAACATGTTATATCACATCAACAAAATGAACAATAAAAATAATATTGTTTCAATAGAAGCAGAATAAAGCATTTGATAAAATAAAACATCCTTTCATGATAAACACTTTAAAAAATGGGTATAGAAGGAATACACATCAATATAATCAATCCAATATATGACAAATCTACAGCCAGCATCATACTGAACTCAGAAAAGCCAGAAATATTTTCACTAAGATCTGGAACCACACAAGGATGACCACTCTCACCATTATTATTCAACATAGCTTTGAAAGTTTTAACCAGAGCCATTCAAGAAGAAAAAGAAATCAAGTGGATACAAACTGGAAAGGAAGAAATCAAATTATCCCTGTTTGCAGATGACATGACCCTTATATAGTGGAGCCCAAAGACTCCACAAAGAGACTTGTGGAATGCACAAGAGAATTTGGCAAAGTTGCAGGACATAAAATCAACACACAAAAATCAATAGCATTCTTTTTTTTTTAAAGGATTTTATTTATTTATTTGAGAGATAGAGTTATATATAGAGAGAGTGAAAGACAGAGAAAGGTCTTACATCTGTTGCTTCACTCCTAAAATGGCCACATGGCCAGAGCTGGGGCAGTTCAAAGGCAAGAGCCAGGAGCCAGGAGCTTCTTTCAGGTGGGTCTCCCACATGGATGCAGGGGCCCAAGCACTTAGGCCATCTTCTACTGCTTTCCCAGGCTAAAGCAGAGAGCGACCAGGACACGAGCCAGCACTCATGTGGAATGTCAGAACCACAGGTGGAATCTTAGTGCCAGCCCCTCAATAGCATTCTTATATACCAAAAATGCTAGACTGAGAAAGAACTTGTAAATCAATCTGACTCACAATAGCCACAAAAAAATCTTAAATATCGTGGAATAAATTTAACCAAGAATGTGAAAAATCTCTACAACAAAAATTATAAAACATTATTGAAATAGAGGATATGAAAAAGGAAAAAATCTTCCATGTTCATGGATTAGAAAGTCAGGCCGGCGCCGCAGTTCAACAGGCTAATCCTCCGCCTTGTGGTGCCAGCACACGGGTTCTAGTCCCGGTCGGGGCACCAGATTCTGTCCAGGTTGCTCCTTTCCTGGGCCAGCTCTCTGCTGTGGCCCAGGAGTGCAGTGGAGGATGGCCCAAGTGCTTGGGCCTTGCACCTGGCTCCTGGCTTCAGCTCAGCGCACCAGCCACAGCAGCCATAGGAGGGTGAACCAACGGCAAAGGAAGACCTTTCTCTCTGTCTCTCTCTCTCTCTCACTGTCCACTCTGCCTGTCAAAAAAAAAAAAAAAAAAGTCAATATAATCAAATGCCCACACTACCCACAGCAGTTTACAGATTCAATGTAATTCCAATCAAAATCCAAGAACATTCTTCACAGAGCTGGAAAAAATAATCCTAAAATTCATATAGAAACATAAAAGACACTGAATAGCCAAAGCAACCTTAAATAACAAAAACAAAGCTGAAGGTATCATAGTACCAGTTTTGAAGATATAGTACAGAGCCATTATAATCAAAATATCCTATATTGGCACAAGAATAGAAACACAGACAAATGGAACAGAATAGAAATCCCAGAAATTAATCCACTCATCTACAACTAACTAATCTTTGAAAAGCAAGCTAAAATCACTCCCTGGGAAAAGGACAGTCTCTCCAATAAATGGTGTTAGGGAACTGGATGTCTGCATGCAGAAGTATGAAAGAAGGCCCTTACCTTACACCTATTAAAAAATCGACTCACAATAGGTCAAAGATCCAAACCTCTGCTCAGAGCTGAGTAAACTCTTGGGACTATTCTTAGCACTATGCCTGCAGCCAATCTGTTTATGGGGCCAGCACTGCTTCTGTGGCTTGGAACCCTTGCATGTGGAGATGACAGGGGTATGTGCACCCCAACTCTCCAGGCACCTACATGGATCCTGCAGTTTTAGGTCCCTCCACACTTATAAGGACTGGGGCCTGTGCACCCTATGATTGTAGCACCACAGCTGGTCTTACAGCTTCTGTCTCTAGTGTGGGCAACAACTGCAGAATTGTGTGCCAGGGTCCAAGCAGCACTACTGGGTCCTAGGATTGCTTCAGACTCCCACTGCTGTTGTCATCTACTGTTGCCCAAAAGTCAACTGAAGCTGGCACCCCTGGTTCAAGACTTTCTTCTCAATATAGAAGTAAAGAATGGAGACCGGACAAAAGTGAAGTGAAAGTAATTATTATTGCAGAGAAGTGTACGGACTCATCACATGCAGGAGGGGACCCAGAGCAGGGAGGCCTTTGCCTAGTTTCCACCCTGGCACTTCCCTCTCCCTTCCGCTGAGTGGCTGAGTGTGCTTTTCTATCCATGTACGTGGCGGTGTTTACACTGGTTCTGGTTCCCCCTTCTCAGACCAGCTCCTGAAGGCTTTATCTGATTGGACCCTCATTTGTGTCCATGGGGATGGAATTGGGTCAGACGATTTGATTTCCCATAGCTCAAACTTCCATTCCAGTCCTTGTCTAAATTCCTAATTTTGTCCTGTCCCTGAGGTCCAAGGCTGCTTCCCTATTTTAAGCCTTCTTAGGAGGTCCTGACTCTACACCACCACAGTGAAAGAAAAGTGCAGGGAGACTATACCATGGCATCCAACTGGAACTAAAGTCAAAGGAACCCAGCAAACCAACACCAGAAGACACATCTTCAGAAAAAGAGCCTCTAGTTCATGAACACCACCGTTTGAAAGGTAATACAAACAACAGATCTGTCAATGCACCAAAAATCAATGTAAGGACACAAGAAGTGTGGAAAAACATGGCAATATGACACTCCAAAGTGAACATAATAATGCCTTAACATCAGACTACAAAAGAAGGAAGTGACAAAAATACCTGATAAGAGTTGAAAAGAATAAGAACATTCAAAGGGGCCGGTGCTGTAAAGCTGCTGTCTGAAATACCAGCATCCAAAATACTTGGCCACTGGCTCAAGTCCTGGCTGCTCCACATCAGATCCAGCTCCCTGCTAATGCATCTGGGAAAGCAGCAGAAAATGGCTCAAGAACTTGGAAACCTACACCCATGTGGAAGAATTTCTGGGTATTGGTTTCATATCTACTGGCTCCTGCAGTTCCCACCACTGCAGCAATTTGGAGAGTTTATCAGCAGATGGAAGACCTCTCTCTCGCCCTCTCTCTCTGCTTTTCTATCTCTCTCTGCAGCTCTGCCTTTCAAATAAAACAATCATTTTTTTTAAAGAACACTCAGAGATACAATACAATTAAGTGAAAATCAATGTGATATATATATATATATATACACACACACACACTACTTGATTTGAATTTAAAATAAGTATTAAGCCCTGAAAACTAGAAAGTGTTGGGGAGAAAGGAAAGTTTGGATAACAGGTAACAAAATGCAG